TATATACAGTGGGGCAAAAAAGTATTTAGTCAGCCACTGATTGTGCAAGTTCTCCTACTTAGAAAGATGATAGATGTGTATAATTTTCATCATAGGTACACTTCAACTATGAGACAAAATGAAGAGAAAAAAATCCAGGAAATCACATTGTAGGGATTTTAAAGAATGTATTTGTAAATTATGGTGGAAAATAAGTATTTGGTCAATAACAAACCAGCAAGATTTTTGGCTCTCACAAACCTGTAACTTCTTCTTTAAGAAGCTCTTTTGTCCTCCACTCATTACCTGTATTAATGGACCAGTATGACCTCGATATCTGTATTAAAGACACCTGTCCACAGCCTCAGACAGTCAGAATCCAAACTCCACCATGGCCAAAACCAAAGAGCTGTCAAAGGACACCAAGAAGAAAACTAGGCCTGCACCAGGCTGGGAAGAGTGAATCTATAATAGAGAAGCAGGTTGGTGTGAATAAATCAACTGTGGGAACAGTTGTAAGAAAATGGAAGACATACAAGACCATAGATAATCTCCCTCGATCTGGGGCCCCATGCAAGATCTCATCCCGTGGGGTCAAAATGATCATGAGGACGGTGTGCAAAAATCCCAGAACTACAGGTAGGGACCTGACAGAGAGCTGGGACCAAAGTAACAAAGGCTACCATCAGTAACACACTACGCCGAGGGGAACTCAAATTCTGCAGTGCCAGGCGTGCCCCCCTGTTTAAGCCAGTACTTGTCCAGGCCCATCTTAAGTTTGCCAGAAAGCATATGGATGATCCAGAAGGGGATTGGGAGAATATCATGTGGTCAGATGAAGCCAATGTAGAACTTTTTGGTAAAAACTCAACTCGTCATGTTTGGAGGAAGAAGAATGGTGAGTTGCATCCCAAGAACACCATACCTACGGTGAAGCATGGGGGTGGAAACATCATGCTCTGGGGCTGTTTTTGTGCAAAGGAGACAGGACAACTGATCCATGTTAAGGGAAGAATTAACGGAGCCATGTATTGTGAGATTTTAAGGCCAAACCTCCTTCCATCACTGAGAGCATTGATGATGGAACATGGCTGGGTCTTCCAGCATGACAACAATCCTGAACACACCACTCGGACAACGAACGAGTGGCTCCGTAAAAAGCATTGCAAGGTCCTCGATTGGCCTAGCCAGTCTCCAGACCTCAGTCCCATAGAACATTTGAGGAGGGAGTTGATAGTCCATGTTGCCCAGCAACAGCCTCCAAACATTACTGCTCTAGAGGAGATCTGCACGAAGGAATGGGCCAAAATACCAGCTGTGCAAACCTGGTGAAGACTTACAGGAAACATTTGACCTCTGTCATTGCCAACAAAGGTTACGTTACAAAGTATTGAGCTGAACTTATGTTATTGACCAAATACTTATTTTCCACTATAGATTATAAATAGATTCCTTAAAAATCCTACAATGTGAGTTCCTGTATTTTTTCCCCTCATTTTGTCTCATAGTTGAGATGTACCGATGATGAAATTACAGACCTCTCTCATCTTTCTAAGTAGGAGAACTGGCACAATCAGTGGCTGACTAAATACTTTGTTGTCCCACTGTGGTACCTTTCTATCTGAGCAAGACTCTCAGAGCTCTCTACAACACAATCTGTGCCTCATTTACCCATTCATGCAACACTCTACTAGATCTATTCAAATAATAATCAGTGCTTTATCAGATTCCTACACTGATGGGACACACATAGGAGGCAATGAGGGGTTCAGTGGCTTGCCCAAGAACACTTCAGCATGTGACTGCTGGTGGAATCGAACCCTCAGCTCTCGCATTGGATGATTGTTCTAACCACTCAGCCACAGCTGCCCCAAATAAAATAATTGGCACCCCGATCATTTGAGAAAACCATGCTTTCTACTTTTTGTATTCCTTAAATGTACTTTCCTCAAATGACTGGGGTGGCCACTGGGGTGACCAAAGATTACACTATTGAGGTCAAGGCCATTGTTGGCCACCCCTTGACTCCACCACTGCACCTGGTGGTGTATAAACTTGCTCCCTCCGCTTGCCAGAATCCGTCACTCTGCACCGCCTCGGACAAGCAGAATGAATAAATAAATGTCGGTTTATTCAGGCCGAGAGTTTTTCCCAGAAGAGCTCTCAGCCGGGATTTGATCCGGCAACCTTCTTGCTGAGAGGCAACAGCTCTACCTACTGAACCACCGTGCTGCACTCCTACTTGAGTATCTTGCACAAAAATCATTAAGGTTCACTTGAATTTCCTGTTCACTTCCAGTCCAGAAAAACACACAAAGTACAAGAATTATCAACTAGTGACTAAGAATAACAAGATCAGGGGAGAGTACACATGGCTCGGAGGGGAATAAATCAGTGCAACAAAACAAAGTGTGCTTCTGAAAACATTTTTTTTTCAGCTAATGAAATGCATTCCTTGCTTCAGTAATTAAATTTAGCAGACATGAGTGCTTGTACAGCGTTCATCTCTTGCTTTGTTTCCTGGCAGAGAAACAATAAAAACAATCTGATTTCCTCGCCCTTGTCTGGTATAACGTAAAGCATCTTTGAAAAACATCCTAAAATAGTCAATAAAATTACATTTCATTAGTGTCAACTTTAATAAAATCCAGACTGAAGAGTTCTGATTAAAGGATTTCCTTCACGCCGAGCTCTCCCTGCTCCTGACAGGAAATAACGGGACATGAACGGTGAGGATCAGCGAGGATTGAAAACGACAGGAGAGGAATGAAGAAGTTGGTGACATGTCTAAATGATGCCAGCTGACTTCCTGCTGCAGTTAAACCGCCTGTTTCAAATTCAGAAATTGTGCAACTGTTTTCACAGTTTCTTCTGTATGTTTTGTTGGTAACTGCACATTTGTGCATCACATTCATTCATCTATCAAGGGGAGTGGTGGTGCAGAGGTTAGAGAAGGAGAGCCCGTGATCGGAAGCACCCACACCTGCCTCCACTCTCATCTGCCCCACTCTGGGCCCTTGAGCAAGGCCCTTAACCTCCATCATCTGCTCCCCTTACTTACTTACTTATTCGCCCTTACTGGCAGCTCTCTGCTCCACACAGAGGGCTGTGGTAGCTCGGTGGTCTGTGGTTGTTTCAGGAAGGAGATCCATTCTAAAAACACTTGTTAACTCTTCGTGTGAGTTAGTTCACTGTGGTGACCCGTAAAGAAGGGAGCAGCCGAAAGAAGAAGAAAAATCATAAATCTATCAAACATTCAGCTTGAGCTGGTGTGTTAGGATGTTTAGTGCTTTTAACTTTCATGGTATAAATATTTAACTTTACCAACAAAAAAAGAAAGAAAGAAACACAAGTTTGAAGAAACCTCTACAGAAACTTTGTTCTCTGAAATCTTCAGCTTACTTGCTCCATTGTCCCGCTAATTTTAGCTTTAATGTTATGCGTCTCTGTTTGCTTTTAGCTAAGGTTTAGTTAGCTTTAATTTATCTTTTGCACAGTTTCACTCACTGTGACAACCCCTGCAGAAGGGAGCAGCCGAAAGAAAAACCAACAGCTACAGTTGTTCAAAAATTTGTTTTGAACTGCTTTTTAAAATTTAGCTTTTAGCCCCTCTTTTGCTATTTTTAGCTGCAAATTATAGCTCTTAGCTAATTTTGTTAATTTTTGTTTTTAACAATAGTTTGTCTTATTAGCTTTTAGCCTCTGTTTTGCTATTTTAAATGCTATCTTGCTAATCATAGCTCTTACCTAGTTTTGTTAATTTTTGTTTTTAACTATAGCTTTTCTTGTTAACTTTTAGCCCCTATTTTACTATTTTAGCTACTATCTTGCTAATTATAGCTTTTAGCTACATCCATCCATCCATTATCTTTTACCCCATTCTTCCTCTAAAATGTTGTACATTTTTCTTTTTAACTTTAGTTTTTCTTGTTTAGCTTTTAGCCCTGTTTTGCTATTTTAGTTGCTCTATTGCTATTTATTGCTTTTAGCTATTTTTGTTATATTTTATTTTTAACTATAGTTTTTCTTGTGTTAGCTTTTAGCTCCTCCTTTGCTATTTTTAGCTGCTATATTGCTAATTATAGCTTTTAACCAGTTTTGTTAATTTTAGTTTTTATTTATTGTTTTTCTTGTTAGCGTTTAGCCCGTTTTACTATTTTTAGCTACTGTATTGCTAATTATAGCTTTTATCTACATCCATCCATCAGTCCATTATCTTTCACCTGCTTCTTCCTCCACAGTTTTGTTGTTTGTTTTTAACTTTAGTTTTTCTTTTAGCTTTTAGCCCGTTTTGCTATTTTTAGCTGCTATCTTGCTAATTATAGCTTTTAACTAGTTTTGTTAATTTTTGTTTTTATCTATTGGTTTTGTTGGGTTAGCTTTTAGCTACTGTTTGGCTATGTGCAGCTTGTAGCTTTAACCTCTCTGGTTTTACTTTGTTCTGTTTGCTTAACATTTCATTTTTCAACAGTCTTTCAACACTCAACGTTCTCACCGTATTTTTGCAGAAACTGCATTTTTTGTAGATTCCTGTAAACCATCAGAAATCCCTCCAACACATGACTCACACGGACACACACTCAGCTGGACGGCTGTTGTTTTTCAAAGGGATAATCGTGGATGAAAACTCCTAATGGTCCTAATGAACAGGGTGGCTGACTCCTGAGGCCCCCCCCCCCCCCCGCCTGCTGCACACCTCTGACTGATCAAAGCTGAAAAGGAGAGCAGAAGAAAGTCTGCAAGGTGAACCTTTAAGTTCTTACTGAGAGCAAGACTCCAGCTGAGTGGAAAGAAAATCATGAAACGCAGCCAAGAAAACCGGTGGATGTGGATAATTAGGAGTGAAGTGCCAGGAAATTGAGATACTGGCCAAATTAACAGGAGAGGGAAAAAAGTTGACATGCAGAGAAAACAAATAAAAAATATAGTTTTGCTTTTAAGAAATTGAACGGTAAGTTCAAGAGGACCATAAAATCAATCCACTGTAGACAAGTTAAGACTTTGATTTCCTTTTTAATTGAGTGCTGCCAGAACACCGTGGGCAGGAAACACCTGTTGTTCTGTGCTGTGAACCATTTTTCTCATTTATTTCCCTTTCATCAGAGATTTACCACGACCTGTTTGTGTCTCTGCTGCAGGTGGGATGGGACTGGAAGTGAGTGGCAAATTATTTTTCTGCTGGAGAACCAATTTCTTTATTTAGAATTTGAATTGGCCTACTGTGCTCTTTTATCACTATGATAGTTGCGGCAAACGAATGGAATCGCACAAAACCTGACATTTAAAGTGTGATTTTAAGGTCGTGCATATTTAACAGTCATCCAGCAGCTCATTGAGCCCTGACTAAATGGGAGTTATTGATTTGTCTTAAGACACGACCTTTTAATTTTTAATGCATTCCATCCATCCATCCATCCATCCATCAATTATCTTAACCTGTTCCTTCCTTTTTGGGTCATGGGGGTCGCTGGTGCCCATATCCAGCAGTGGGGGGACACCCTGGACAGGTCTCCAGTCCATCACAGGGACACATAGAGACAAATGAGACAAAGAACCATTCACTCTCTCACCTAGGGACAATTTAGAGTTACCAATCAGCCTAACATGCATGTTTTTGGCATGTGGGAGGAAACTGGAGTACCCAGAAAAAAAACCACGCATGCACGGAGAGAACATGCAAACTCCACCCAGAAAGACCCCCCCTAAGCCGGGATTTAACCGGCGACCTGCTCACAGCTCTACCAACTGCGCCACCGTGCCGCCATCTTGATGCCTCCAAACATTAACCTGTCGTTGATGTACATGCTGTGATTAATTTCTGAACGTTTCAGTAAAATCTATCCAGTGGGTCACCAGATATTTTACTAACGTGAAAACAAACCAACACATCCCCCCACACACAGGCAGTTACATGATCGCCCACCTTTCATAGCAGTGTGCAGTAACGACACATTATGACTTTGGTGCATTTTGTGTCACAAAGAGAAATTAAAAAGATAAAACTCTAAAGTAAAAGGCTGTGTGCTGCACGTTTTAGCTTCTGGTGAAGCAAACATCTGCATAAACCTTTAAACTTGTTTCAAACAACATTTCTTAGGGCTTTCTGAAGACACATTTTAACAACTTCAACATGTGAAATGAATGAAATTAAAGGATTATTGAGTTTTCTCTGAAAACTAAAGACGCATGATGGATTTATGTTCTACCCATTAGCAGCTACTTCAGCGCATTAATGTTGTTTTGCATGTTGAACCTTCTTTGTTGACTTGTTTACAGTCAGTACTTTAATGTGATAGTTTTACATCATTACTTTCAGAAGGTTCTTCAGAAGGATGTATTCAACAGAAAACACAAAACAGGAAAATATTAGCAATGAAGTGATATTGATTCATTTTATTTTCTCAACAAGTTCACATTAATTTAGGGTTTTTCAGGATTCAGACTAAATCCTGCAGTAAGAAGAAGCTTTCGTATTATTTGAGAGAGAAATGTATTATTTCATTTTCTTGGCCATACTCTAGATCTTTCTACTAAGATACACTTTGATATAAAAACTTTGCCTAATATAAATAATTTATAGTATAATAGTTTACATTTCAAGTCAAAAACCAAAGATATTCAACTTTGTAAGTTAATTTGTGTTAAATAACTAACAATTATGGTTAAAAGTTCAAACAAGCAGCATGATTATACATTTACAAGGATGGCTTTTATTTTGAAACATTTTCTGTTTTCTCTAACAGCCTTCTTAAAAACCAGAAAATATATTTTTGAAAGAGTTTGCCAGGTTTTGTTGATGTTGTATTTTTATGACAAGAAAAAAGTAATTTTTCTCATTTTTTTTTAAATTGTTTGCAGCTACAAGAATCCGGTAAATCAAAAAGTTGTATTTCAATCAAATTAGAGCGACGTGATCATGTTCAAATTAAATGAGTGGGACAGTCACTAACATGGTTCCATAATTATCTTTCACATGGGTCGCAGCAAATGAAGGTGGACTCTCATAGTTCAGTTTCTTCTTTCGGTTATGTCAGGTGTTCCCCAAGGCTTCATTCTTGGTCCAGCTCTTTTCTCCGTATTTATAAATATCTCACGTTTTGCTAGTGGGGCCTCCATTCATTTATATGCCGATGACACTATTTTATATGCTTTTGGTTCTACTCTGGAAGAGGTTGTGAAGTCTCTTGCATGTAGTTTTCTTGAAATCCAGCAGGCCTTTTCAAATTTAAATTTGTCCTTGAATGTCAAGAAAACTAAAATTATGTGGTTCTGTCATGAAGGAGGAACCATACCCACCTCGGTGGACTTCACAACTATAAACTGTGATATTATAGAAGAGGAAACAGTTTATAAATATTTGGAAATTTGGACTGATGGTGCTCTGTCCTTTTAACATCATGTTAATGTTTTGCAATCTAAGGTTAAAGCGAGACTTGGTTATCTACATAGAAATCGATCGCCGTTTATATTGGCTGCAAAACACAAAATTTTTGAAAATACCATTCTATCTCTGTTGGAATATGGAGACATAATTTACAGACATGTTAAGGGTGTCCTTCATAAGCTGGACACAATTTGTCACTCTGCAATTGGCTTTGCTACAAATGCTCTTTATATAACACATCATGGTCAACTCTACTCTCTTGTCAAATGGCCTTCTCTACATACTAGTCATGAAGTTCATTGGTTTACCTTCATTTATAAGATGTTGCTGAGTTATTCACCTCCATATTTAACTAATCTACTGCAACTAGCACTGGTTTTGAAGTATAACACCCAATCCTCTCAGTATGTAATGTAGGTCAGTGCATCCTTGATGCATCCTTACACTTCTGTGCTGATGATACAGTTGTTTATAGTTGAGCTAAAACAGTTGCAAAGGTTTTCCATCTTTTGCAATCTGCTTTTGACATCATCCGGTCAGATTTGTTCCGTCTCAAACTTATTCTAAACGCCGACAAAACCAAAGGGATGCTTTATTCAAACAGGAAGTCGGTCCCAGCAGTTCATTCTTTGATTGTATCCTCGAATGGTGTCCCTTTTGAGTTTGTCGGTTACTATAAATATTTGGGTATCTTGGTCGATTTGCATCTGATGCACGTCGAAAACCTAGTAAGGAAACTGAAAGTTAAACTGGGTTTCTTTTTCAGAAACAGATCCTGTCTAACTCTGAACGCTAGGAAACTCCTTGTAACTGAGACTTTCCTTCCCTCCATTGACTACAGTGACATTATTTACATGAACGCACCTACAAGCACTCTGCAGATGCTGTACACCGTCTATCATGGTGCACTAAGATTCATAACTGGCTGTAACTACCGCACCCACCATTGCACCCAGTATTCACTGGTTAACTGGACATCATTAACTTCACGCAGACTCTCTCAGTGGTACACTTTAATTTTTTAATC